GTTTTGCCAAAAAGTCAACGGTGGTTTTACCTTATCGGTAGACGTGGCCACCGGGCCGGGTTTGTCGACCTAACTATTGGGCTTGACCAGTTGACCGACAAGCCGAATCCGTTGACCAAAGTTTCGGGCCACAATTAAAATTGGATATATGTATTAAATCGATTTGTTTTCAGGTCGAGCATAAACTGTTGAACCTGAAGGTTGGAATTGACGGACCGATATTTATCGGTTGGGTCAAGCTAGTCAGCTATCTCTTATTTAACCTTCTCATCATATATAGTTAATTTTAAAATAATAATTATTTTTTACACTTGCATATTGTGAAGGTTTCCTCTCTTATTTTCCCCCTTTTACTTTTCTTTCTATTTTTTTTTTTTCAATATAGAAGAGGCAACATACAGATTTTTTTTTAGTTTCATATAATATAAAACAAATTAATGTACAGTAGAAGTGTAAACGAGCGGAGTCGAATTTTAGCTGGAGCTCTTAACTAGCTTACAATTGAGCTCAAACTCAACTTGTTTATTAATATTAACGATCCGATCTCTAGTTAAAATTGAGTTTTAACGAATAGACCTGTAAAAAACTACATAATAATCATTTTCTCGAGTCAAGTCGAGCTCAATTCATTAATTGTACGAACTTTAAATGATCTCGAGCTTTAAATAAGTCGAGCCGAGTTGGTCTATAAACGAGTCGAACCGAACTCAAGTAATGAGCTGAAATCATAAGCGATTTATTTAATTTAACAGCTCTATCGTACCATGCCAAAAAGAAGACCTAATTAGAGAGTATATGGTAAGTGGTCCCAATAACCTTTTGTCACGGGTGTAAAGGTGCATTTATTGAACCAAAACGCCGTCGAACCAATTGTGTAAAATCATATCCAAAAAAGTCAAAATTAAAAAAAAAAAAATAATAAAACAAAAATATGGAAGTCTTCTACTTCAGACTAGTTTTTATTTGGTTTGTTATTTAATTATGGTTAATTCTGAAAAAATGTGATAGAGTTAGTTGTTAGTATATATAATAAAATAATATTTAAATAAAATAATTAAAGTTGATTTGACGTAAAGTAGAAAAAAAATGATTGGAAGTGATGGTTAGTTAAAATTATGTGAGTGGATGAATAGTAAATTAAAGTTGATGTGATGTGATAAGAATGATTGGTTGATATTATTTAAGAAAAATGTTACAAGTACATAATAAATGTACATAGGGAAAAAATCTTTTTCACCCCAATACAAACATACATTAAGTTTTTCACACAGTCCACTAATAATCTAACTTTTTCACCCCGGGAAGTGCGAAGGTTATGCGAATGAACTGCATAACTGTCGCATATCAATTAACTGTCGCATATTCATCGCACAATGTTTTCGCACTTTAACTTTTTTCACCATAGAAAGTGCGAAGGGATATGCAAATGTCTTCTCACTTTTAACTTTCGCAAAATGTCATCGCGCAATTGTCGCATATTCATCGCACAATATCTTTCGCACTTTTTGGAGTGAAAAACTTAGGTTTTTTATTAGACGGTGTGAATAACTTAGCAGAACTTCAAAACGAGGTGATAATAACTATTTTCACAAAATAAGATAGAACTTTGCTACATTATTTTGAACCAAAAAAAAATGTGAACTAACACTGATAAGTGATAACATGCACGCACGACCATTTTATTTGATAATTTTGTTTTAAAAAAAAAAAAAATTGATGATTGATGTTGATATTCACCATCTCTAAAAATGAAAATTGAGGCCATGTTATGTTGTCATGTTTTGTAGCCAACAATTATTACAACCAATGTTCTTTCTATTGGCAAAAAAATATATAAATAATTAATTCCTTTATATGAAGTAATTGTTATTACTAAATTTTATTAAATATTATGAAATTATTTAAATAACCATCACTAAAATTGAATATATAATCAAAGTATTAGACATAAATATTAGCGATTTTGCTATGAAGCCAACAGTTGGCTCCACAATGGAGTAACCTTTATATACAACTAGTAAATCATACAATATTACTAAAATTATATTTGTTATTTAAATAATCAGATAATATATTAAAATTTATATATTAGTGTCATAGTTCGACTCTTAGGTTAAATATGGTATGAGATGATTTGACTTGGATTGATTTTCATTATTAAATATTTATGAAATCTATAAAATCCCAATTATCAATGATTTTTTATTAAGTCAAAATAATTTGATTTTTGAAATAATTGGATATTCTTATCCAGAGGGGGAAGTTAGCATTTAGTTTAGTAGGAAAAATTAAATTACGGTCACAAAAAATAAATAAATCCAGTCCTTTTGTTTGATTGACAAAAATTGTCAACATTAATTAATTAATAATATATGGAAAGAAACTGTGGATGATACTAGAACGTTCATATATACATATAACTAATTAATTAATTAATTTGTACAAGTAGCTATTTTAAATTATTTTTACACTATCAGTTACATATAACTAATTAATTAATTAATTTATACAAGTAGCTATTTTAAATAATTATTACAACATCAGTTGGTGCACGTAAAATTTGTCCCGATTAATTCCACATACAAGTTGGCTTAAAAATTAGGTTTTTAAATTAACCATTTTATTTTATTTTTTTTTATTATTATGAGTTTATAAGTGTGGATATAGTTATTTTTTATGCATATATCCCTATAAAAAAACTATATAAGGGGCTTGGATTAAAAAAAAAAAACAATATCGAAAAATTAAAGCAAACACCAATTTTTTTTCCGCGCATTTTCTCAGCTAAATTTGAGGAGAAACAGTTATATTTTACATTAATTGATATATGTAACTATATATTCAAAGTTAAATGATATATGTAACTATATATTCATAAGATCTATTTTAAAATATTTTTTCAAACTACTTTTTTTAATATATTATCATATCTATTCCCCATTTTATGGAGAATTTTTTTTCTTATGAGATAACTAACCCCTTAAATTTATGTTTACAATTGGTATAATTATAAAGTTTTAATATTTTTATCTGATTAATTGGATACAATCACTCAAGATTACAAAAATTATATATAATGATTCATATGTAAGCTAAATATCTATATTTATATCATTCATTTGTTCGATTTTTACTATTGATAAAATTTGTAAATTGTAATATGTTTATTATCTTACATATTATTTTAATTTTTACTATCTAAAAGTTATGTTATAAGGTCGCTAATTATATTTGATTTTTTTTTTTTTTTTTTT